CCCCAAAACCCCAAAACCCCAAAACCCCAAAACCCCTTTTTAAAAAGTTTTTATTGGACTATTGCTTTTTGCCGAACACAAGCCGAGTAATATTGTCTACTTGTGGTTTCTGCTTTATCTGGTCCTCAATGCTGCTAGCTCTGTAGAGATTAAGGTTACTATTCCTACTTGTTAGAGACATGAATTTGGGTTCTAGATGTTGCTTCCTTTGGCTTAAAATCAGGGATCCGAATATTATCTGCAGAGCTGTTTAAGTTCTTACGGACGGGTAACTAAAGTTAAAAATTTGTCGCTATACCTTCCTCAAATTATACTCATGATGAACGTTAAAATTAGGATCGTTCTTGGTATTATCTTTGAATCCTAGTCTGCCAAAGCTATCCAAAGTCAGCTTGTTCTTTCTTCGATGAATAGTGTGATAATTTAGCAGAGAATCATTATCATAAGTCCTATTTATTTGGCCTTGTTTCAGGCCCACACTTCTCATGACATTATTTCCGGTGTTCATGATGAGTTTCCTTTGAGGCCGAACTATCCTGCTAATATTGTTATCCTTTCTGTCTACTGAGATAGAGGGAGAAATAATGTCTAGATGTTTCAGTTTGATGTTCGACTTAGATCGACTATAAATATTATTTTCATGTGTACTTTGGTAGCATCAAATCTTGGTCATTATAGTAGCCTAAAAATAATCCTATTATATACCATCAAGAGAGCTTTTATGAGCATTATGAGGACGATTATCGAGATTCATCCTTTCATGGCTGTTCTAAAAGATTAGGGAGTATAATACATTTCTATCAAATTTAATTTTGAGATGACTAGTGCTCAAGATCGGATTAGGATCAATGTTGCATTTTACTTTGAGATCTGTTATATATTTCTGGTTCAGTACTTTTTCTCTTTGGTCCATTAAATTTTCCCTTTGTTTTTGTATTTTCTTTTCCTCCAATTGCTGATTAAGATCTTTGATATACTTATTTTTAAATTTTTCTCTTAGAACTTTTCCACTTGTGAAGTCATTTTTAAAAATATCTTCATAGATCCTCTCTGGCTTGTTATTAATTGAGATATTAGAGCTTAACTCTTTTTCTGAGAACCCGCTTGATTTAAGTTCACTCATGCTTGTAGAATTGCTGTTCAGTAGTCCTGTATGATTATGAGGAGATTTGGAGGCCCTTCTTGTTCCTTTCTCATACACCTTCAGCCTCTCATGGTTGTAATTATCAGAAAACTCGTTTACCCATTTGATGTATCTCTTGCCATCCTCTATATCTTTGATCTTCTCCATTTCTTTAAGTTTTTGGGTGTCTCGTTGCTGTCTTTTCCAATAGTTTGCCATTTCAATACTATCCATTTTATTTAGGGCTCTCAACTTTTGTTCAAGGTTCATTGCAACTTTTGAGGATTTATCTTGATTTTCTCTATCAATTTTCTTAAACTTTTGTGTGGTAATCTTGTAGATGCTCCCTTTCTGTTTTAAGATCTCAGTTCTCCTTCCGGAGGTCTTGCTCATATTTATTTCCGAACCTGAACTCTTGATTCATCCATGAAAGGCAGTAGGTTAACATTTTTAGGGTCAATAGCCCCATCTTTGTCTATAGAATGGTCTAGAGAGCGGAGGTTTAGGTCTCTCAGGACCTTAGCCTTGCTCAGCATATTGTTTTCATGCCTGAGTTGTGCAATTATGCCATCATGCTGGGCTCTCGTCTTTCTGATGTTGTCTATACAAGCTTATTTATGGCAGATATACCCTTTTCCATTTCAGCTTGCAGATTAATTAGTTGGCACCATTCATCATTTTCTATGAGAAGTTTAGTAATGATATCGATAATATCAGAGTATCTTCAAGGAAGTATTTGTAGTTTATGGTGCCTTGTACCAGAAATAGCGATCAGGAGGGCAAAGCGTCATCTTTTAAGACTTACTTGACCTTTCTTGGTGCATCTCAATTAAACTCTCTTTAGTCTGATTCCTTGTAGCAACAACTTCTTGCATATAATTAAGGAGTTTCTTCTTAATTTTATATTATTCTATTATTAGTAAATATTGAGGGGTTTTGGGGTTTTGGGGTTTTGGGG